GTATAAATACAGCTGTTCTGTGAAGGCCTCAGAGGTTTGTTAGAGAACATTAGTGAACAAACAGCATCATGAAGACTAAGGAACACACCAGACAGATCAGGAATAAAGTTATGGAGGTGTTCAAAGCAGGGTTAGGTTATAAAAACATATCCCAAGCTTTGAACATCTCACAGAGCACTGTTCAATCCATCATCTGAAAATGGAAAGCGTATGGAACAACTGCAAACCTACCAAGACATGGCCGTCCACCTAAACTGACAGGCCAGGCAGGAAGAGCATTAATCAGAGAAGCAACCAAGAGGCCCATGGTAACTCTGGAGGAGCTGCAGAGATCCACAGCTTAGGTGGGACAATCTGTCCACAGGACAACTATTAGTCGCGTACTCCACAAATCTGGCTTTTATGGAAGAGTGGCAAGAAGAAAGCCTTTGTTGAAGGAAAGCAATAAGAAGTCCCGTTTGCAGTTTGCCTCAAGCCATGTAGGGGACACAGCAAACATGTGGAAGGAGGTGCTCTGGTCAGATGAGACCAACATTAAACTTTTTGGTCTACATGCAAAACGCTATGTGTGGCGGAACCTAACACTGCACATCAGCCTGAACACACCATCCCCACCATGGAACATGGTGCTTGCAGCATCATGCTGTGGGGATGCTTTTCTTCAGCAGGGACAGGGAAGCTGGTCACAGTTGATGGGAAGATGGATGGAGCTAAATACAGAGCAATCCTGGAAGAAAACCTGTTAGAAGCTGCAAAAGACTTGAGACAGGGGTGGAGGTTCGCCTTCCAGAAGGACAACAACCCTAAACATACAGCCAGAGCTACAATGGAATGGTTTAGATCAAAGCATATTGATGTGTTAGAATGGCCCAGTCAAAGTCCAGACCTAAATCCTATTGAGAATCTGTGGCAAGACTTGAAAATTGTTGTTCACAGACGCTCTCCATTTAATCTGACTGAACTGGAGCTACTTTGCAAAGAAGAATGGGCAAAAATTGCAGTCTCTAGATGTGCAAAGCTGGTAGAGACATACCCCAAAAGACTGTGATTGCAGCGAAAGGTGCTTTGACAAAGTATTGACTCAAGAGGGCTGAATACATATGCACGCCACACTTTTCAGATTTTTACAGTATTTGTAAAAAATCCCGAACACTACGTATCATTTTCCTTCCACTTCACAATTATGTGATACGTTGTGTTGGTCTATCACATAAAATCCCAATAAAATACATTTGAGTTTGTGGTTGTAATGTGACAAAATGTGGAAAAATTCAAGGGCAATGAATGCTTTTGCAAGGCACTGTATGTTCTGACTAGCTTTTATTGTATTCCCATTTTCCATGGGTCCCATTCTGAGTTTATTCCAGGAAATGACTTGTAGTCCTACAGTGAGTGGTCTTCTCAATCTCAAGGCAAACAAACACAAAGTCGGTTTTCACAAAACAGCCTTACATGAATGAACGGCGGTGTAAAATGTCATGTTTTCAAATGTGGTGATTTTGATAAACTAACCTAACATATTGAGATTCTTCTTCATTTATGTGCTTAACACCAAACCCAACTATTCGCTCTGTCGTCTGTGAACTCTGTCCAAATGGCTCTGGAAGCAGACCTGACCTTTTCTTTCCAGACAACTCTGGCCACTGAGAGCCTGGTTACTCACAGATCAGCCCTGTGAAATGCACCCAGGAGATGGTGAGTCCACTCAAAATGCGAATCACCTCCTCGCCACTGACTGAATTA